TTCCTAGCCCAATAGGATGATGTCCATCCTCCGTACTGTCCACTAGACATGTGTTTTTGTTTGTGGATGAAATTGCGTTGCAGCAAAGTGACATTAAAAAAAAAAAAAATTAGTTTCAATGTCACTTTGCTGCAACCTAAACGAATGCAACGAGTACGAAAAGAAAATTCATACAGACTACCGCTAACTAATTTTGTCCAAATCCGAATCCCGAAACGAATTGATTTTTGGACCCAAATCTCGAAAAACGAAATAACGCAAAATCCGAAAGGAAACTATTATTTTCCCAGTGCACATGTCTAGTGTCCACTGCAGTGGGAGGAAGGACTTCCCTGCCTCCAACGCAGTCAAGGTTTCTTACCCTTCCTTGCCCTGTTGAGCTGCATCCTGTCTTCTGTGTCTGACACTGTTCATTCCTCTTTGGCGCCCTCTTATGACAAAACCTGTAAACATCATCATTCTGCAACTACTGGCAAACTTCTGACAACTTCCTGTCTCAGAGTGATGAGGCAACACCAGTTCACTATTTAACCAATAGCTTGTCCATTGAGTCTCCGCCCTTGCATGTGTTCTGATCCACCAAGTGCTCTGCTGCAGTGTCAAATTAGTCGACTAAAATGTTTTGTCATAGTTTTTGTCATCTGCATGTTTTCACTGTTAACAACAAATAAAAACTAATATAAATATTAGGTCTCCAAAAAACCTTTTCTCATCTCACCCTGATTTAAATGAATACACAGAACAAAATGATATAGGGCTTTCTGAGATGAGAAGAAAAACCACAATGAAGTTGAGCCAATATAAGACATTTTACAAAGTTTTTATTAACATAGAAAACATGAAAATATCCGTAGACACCACACATAATCCATGGAAAGGAGACCCTAAATAGTGGGTTCTACGGGGGCAGCAGTCCTATGGAGGTTTAACAATAAGCCAAAAAACGAAATATGAGAATACAAAAAATTAAAAACTCCATATATCCAAAAAAGGAGAAAACAAATTTACATTTTTGTAATGCAACTACAAATATTGCCAAATGCATATGATAGTCAAAAAGTTTTTTTTAAAACAAAATATAATGTATTTATACAGTACATATAAGTATTTGTTATAATGCATCGTTTCAGAATTACCTCGTCACATATAATAATTTCTTTTGTAACCATATATGTCATATGAACAGTATTATGACACCTCGGCTCACAGACCCGAATAGCATAGGGTTATGAAAGCTTAGAATGCCAAATGGGTAGAACGAGCCCAGTGGGGTCACGGCTTGCTCCGCCCATTTGATTACAGTCTGGCCAGGGACGTCATTTTGCGGCGAGTCTTCATCGGGTTCGAACAGGTCGTCGTGCGGCGGGACCTTTTTTTTTATCTAGGCGAGTCGGTGGGCGTTGTTCATTGTGATTGATGCTGGATTACATCGATGGAGCCATTTTTTTTTAAATAGAGGAATAATCAAAATTGACCCTTTCAATTAAATGATTTTTTCTAAAACTGTTGTGTGTTTATTTACATCTAGTTAACCCTTCAGTGAATGAGTAGGGGTATAAGTACCCCTTACATGTTTGCAAAGGGGGGGCGGCATTTGCGTGCCCCCTTAGTTAAATAGGTACTACTGTGCAAATAAGCCCCCCTGCCTGCAGACACCCACAACCACCAGGTCAGAGTTGTGGGGAAGAGGCCCTTGACACCCTTCCTATGACAAGGGCACGTGGCCTGAAAAGGCGATCGAGCCCCAACCCCCCTTTCCTGCCCTGCCAGGCCTGTGCTCGGATCAAGGGTCCCCCCCATGTTTTTTCCCCTCTTCTCGTGGATCGGCCCGTGTAATCAACTCTTCTCTTGGATCGGCTTGCGTATTCAACTCTTTTCGTGGATGGAAGTTATCAAATATAGTAAATACCGTGTTTCCCCGAAAATAAGACACTGTCTTTTGGCTCAAAAAAACACACTATGTCTTATTTTCGGGGTAGGTTTTTTTTTTTTAATGTACAACAATCCACACTTTTTCATGTAGAAAAGTCTACATGTATTCATGTACAAAAATATAGTGATCAGGGCAATCAGGGGTGCCGTACCTTCCCAAGAGCAATTTGCTAACCAATCGCTGGCCAGAATGAGTGAAGCGCACTTTCACCATTGATTCCTCACAGGCGGAGTGCATTTGATATCACTCCACCTGGAGCCAGGAGCTGGCACTATAGAGGAAGCATCGGCTTATGCGGCTCTGCTTCCTCCGCTGCCGCCTCGCTTCCTCTAGCGCTGGCATCGCTGGCACCGATGATACTCTCCTGCCTCTCCCGTGGCTCTTCAAGTTTCCCCTTATGCCATCACCGGCCCTGGGAATGGTCATAACTAGGTCTTATTTTCGGGGTAGGTCTTATATTTTAGCAATTCCTCAAAATAGTACTAGGTCTTATTTTCGGGGCAGGTCTTATTTTTGGGGAAACAGGGTACCAGGTATTATACATCATACTTGAGCAGCACAACGGCGTTTTGTATTAGTCCCTGTATGTATGCATCCAAGATAGGGACCTTAGATTGTAAGCTCCTTGAGGGCAGGGACTAATGTGAATGTCCACTATATAAAGCGCTGTGTACAGTTGCTTAGTGGTTAGCAGTTCTACCTTGCAGCTTTGGGTCCATGGTTCAGATCTCAGCCAGGACACGATTTGCATATTCTCCCTGTGCTTGCGTCAGTTTCCTCCTACACTCCAAAGCCAAGCTGGGAGGTTAATTGGTCCTAGTTTGTGTATGTAGACATTCGATTATAAGCTCCTTGAGAGCAGGAACTGCTGTGATTTTACAGTATGTAAAGTGCTGCATAAGCTGTCACCTCCATATAAATATCTACTAGTAAAAATTTCCTACTAGATTGTAAGCTCACGAGCAGGGTCCTCCTGAATTGTATTGTAACTGTACTGTCTCTCTTCATTTTGTAAAGTGCTGCACAAACCAGGGACGTGCGGTCAGGGGAGGCAGGTGAGGAAGAGCCTAATACCGCCCGGCGCCCGGAACTCCATGTTTCCGGGCGTCGGGTGTGCCGCCCCTGTGCTCAGTGCCGCCCCGAGGCCGGGTCTCAGTGACCTTGCCGGGATTTCGGCCCTGCAGGTGAGGCAGTATTATGAAAAGAAAGGTGTCTGCTTCAAGTCTGAAGCTGACAACTTTTTCTCCATGCAGAGTGGCAGGGAGGCTCCTCCCCACACACTGGCACAAACTGTTGGTGTTGTATAAATCCTGTAATAATTAGGGATGTTTTCGGAAACCAAGTACCGTACAAGTACATGTATAGATAATTTTCCAGCTCCAAGACTAGACTAGAGAAAAACTCAAAAGTTAAGTGGCAGCTGTCATTTTTAAGGAACATACGGAGCTCCTGGGATTTGTGCATCTCTGTTTTAATGTATGATGTGTATATATATATATATAACGGATGCACCGATACAATTTTTTCCAGACCATGTACAAGTACTGATACTTGTCCAAGTCCTCACAGATACAAGTACTGATAAATTTTTGTTTATTGTCACGTGACAGTTTTTCTAAAACAATACAGACTAATGATTTCAGGACAGTGGTGGAGCGCCAGAGCTAGGTCCCAGCTGCAACCCTCGTAGTTCTTGTGAAAATGCCAAGTATCTACACTGGTATCTAAACCTCCCTATCCTATATAATAATATGTAAATGTTTTGTTTAGGTATGAGCTGATATAATACATATATGGTTCATATATCCTACCACTAGAGGTCAGCAGAGTACCTGAGTGATTCTCTCCCATTGCCAGCATACAGTATGTGTTACTTATATTGTTATTACAGATACTTGTGCTTCCTCAGACTTTGATAAATCAACAATTGAATGATTGGAGGTCTGTTCAGGTTTTTAAAAGAAGTTTTTATTAACATGAACACAGCAGTTGTAGTTGTACCATCAAATAAAGCCAACATAGGCCATGGCGCTGCATCCAGAAGAGCGGACATTAGCTGTGACAGTGTACAGTCTGTCATATAACGCCAACATAGACCATGGCGCTGCATCCAGAAGAGCAGACACTAGCTGTAACAGTGTACAGTTTGTCATATAACGCCAACATAGATCATGGCGCTGCATCCAGAAGAGCAGGCACTAGCTGTGACAGTGTACCTTCTGTCATATAACGCCAACATAGGCCATGGCGCTGCATCCAGAAGAGCAGACACTAGCTGTGACAGTGTACAGTCTGTCATATAACGCCAACATAGACCATGGCGCTGCATCCAGAAGAGCAGATACTAGCTGTAAGGCTCCGTTCACCCTAGGCGTCAGCGTGCATATTAGCACGTTTTGTTTAATCTCATACAGTGTGTTTCACGCTTTTTTGTGCGTTAGACGCACATACACAAAAACACGCGCTTTATTGAGCAGATTAAAATGCATTGCAGTGAACGAATGTGTGCAAAAACACGTACAGAGATGTGCAAAAACACGTATGTTGTGCGTTTCCAGGAGCTTTCTTTGAAGTGCTGTAATTTGCGAAGAAAGAAAAAAAAAGGTCATGTACTTTTTCCAACGTTCGGCGTTTTACAGCTTGTGACAAAACTCTCAGGTGTCAAATGAATGGGATTTCTTGTGTTGAGTTGTGTCATGCTTTGCTTTGAGTGTCAAAACGGCCAGGTGTGAACAGGGACTAACAGAGTGCAGTTTGTCATATAATGCCAACATAGACTGTGGTGCTGCATCCAGAAGAGCAGACACTAGCTGTGAGGGTGTGTCATAGACGTGGCGCTGCTCCACTGTCATTGTTGTCACCTGGAAGGACAGAAGAGTGGATGGGGCACCTAGAGCGGTGTGTATGAGGAGGAGGCGGCCGGAGGGAAAGGAGACAGCGAGCCGCTGTTATCAGCCTCCCTCCCTCCCCTTTCTCTCTCTCCCTCCCCTTTCTCTCTCTCCCTCCCCTTTCTCTCTCTCCCTCCCCTCCTCCTCCTCCTATCTCTCATTCACACCCCACCCCCACTCCCTGTTTCTTTAAGCCTCTCCCCCTTACTAGTCAGTGCAAGGGATTTCTCCGCCGGGATCCGCTGATTTCCTGTTCTATAGGAGTGACCCAGGGATCGGGGCATGGAGGGCTGCTGGGGTGACCATGTACAGTAGCAGAGCCGTCACCCCCCGCTACACGCAGTGACAGGATCAGCACGTTGGGGGTTGTTGTTTTGGTGGTCGCCGCTCTGTTGATTTGTGTGAAGCTCACCGCCTGGTACCATCATTGACAAGAAGGTGAACATGACAGAAGAGAGCTCGGAGGTCCCCAAAGAGCTGCTGGGTAAGACAGGGTTAAATCTGGCCCGGGGTGCCACTGGCGCCTCATTATGGGGGTGGGGAGAGATCAGCTTTTGCCCTACGCTGGGGGCTGCAGTTGACAGCAGGGTGTGCAGCAGTGCATGGGTTAAAGGAGAGGGCGTGGCCAAGCGCTGTACGCAAGAACCTGTCTGCATGTATTGACAGCATTGTACACTCAGGGGGAGGGCAGGGGGGACTTTATCTATCTGGGATCAGTGTCCATTGACATTACATTTTATAATGACCCCCCCCCCCCGT